CATCCAAAAACACACACATAAACACACAAACACACACACCTCCGATCCCAGATCTCAGACCTGCCCATCGCAGAAGCTATGGTAAAGAACAGCTACGTTAGACACAGCAACTAGTGATGGGATAACACACACACACAAACACACACACACACACACACACACACAAACACACACTTTTTTACAAGATAACCACAAATCATCATGGTGCAACCGCCGGCAAAAACGCACAGAGATGCACATAGCGATGGCAGCTGAAGCAGTGGAGGCGGGGCAAGAGCAGCTAAACCGACCAGGGGTCTCTGCCTCAGCACTGCTGATGCGCGTCAAACAGAAAAATACGAAAATAGAAAAAAATGAGCAGGAGCACTACAGAGCAAATGTGAAATAAGGGTGGCAGCACGGTCACGGAAGGTTGTTCAATGGGAGGAAAAAAGTTGAGGTTCAGGTACACCATACATTGACTGCATACGCCAAGCAGCAGGCATCCGAAATTATACACACATGCACGCGTGCGCACACACACACACACCCACGAACAGCCACACACACACACACGCACACACGCACACACGAACAGACACACACACACACACACACACATACACACACGTACTATACACACACACAACCACACACTATACACACACACACACACACACACACACACACACTATGCACACACGCACACAAACACGCACGCACACACACGCACACACACACACACAGATCACAGGTGCGTAAAGGCCCAATGCCAGTCAGCAGATTGCAGATACTTATGAACGCCTTCTTTGAACTGCTGGAGGCGATGTAGAGTTAGGGGTGCTGTGATGTGCTCGGGAGGAAGGCGATTCCAGTCCTCAACGATGGCGGACGGAAATGATCGCTGTGCGCTGTTGCGTGAGTGACGGTTGCGGGGCATGGCTGCAGTTCATGGCAAATCCGGCTCTGCTGATTAGTGCGAGGATGCCCTCGCAGCTCTGGTGCAACGGCAGGGATCATTGCTCGCAGTGGAGAGCTAGTTGGGAGGCACTGGAGCTTGTATAAGTACTTGTGAGCAGCAACAGCACGGCGGAGGGCCAGACTTGGAAGCCATGACCCACGAGAGATGATCTTGAGAGCTCGTAACTGAACTGCATCGAGTTGGCGAAGGGTTGTAGTGGCAGCCCCCATCCAGACCAACGGGCAGTAATCCATTACTGGTCTGACCAAGCCTTTGTAGACTCGCTCTCTTTTCAGGAAGTGTAACCGCTGGCGCGCACGTACGGCTACAGAGCGCAAATGCTGGTAGAAAGACAACTGTGTGTCGAACTGGACTCCTAGGAGCTTGAGCTCTGCTTCCTCCACAACTGGTAATCCATCGAAGGAGATGGCTGGGAGCTTCCGACGTGGCCGATGGTGATCGATGTTGAGGGCCTGGGATCTGGTGGGCTCAAATGAGATCTTCCAGGCTTTGCCCCAGGCGGAGAGGTCATCCACTGCATGCTGCAAAATACGGCTTCAATCATTCACGTCTGCGCGCACTGCGAGACACTGATACAGCGTGGTGTCATCCGCATAGACAGCGAGATCTACGCCCTCTCCGAGAGTAGTGTCACTGTCATTCACATTTAACAAGAACAGGGTAGGCCCCAATATACCTCCTTGAGGAACACCAGCGGTAATGGGAAAGACATAAGAATCATGGCCAGATACGACTGCAGGGAGATGCCGAGCTGATAGATAGTCGGTCAACTAAGTTAAAAGGGGGCCCCTGAGCCCATAGACAGCAGCCTTGTAAATCACACCTTTGTGGGACACTTTATCAAATGCTCCAGCTATGTCTATTGCAAGAACATGGGCTAAGACTCCCGAACCGGCAGCTCTACGACATAGATGATGTAGGAGCGTCAGGACATCTGCAGTTCCAAGGCGTCGGCGGAATCCATATTGCTTTGCAGACAGAACATTATGGCGATCTAGAAAGTTCATGATTGCGAAGTTCACAATGCCTTCCATTACCTTTGAGATAATGTTGAGTAGGGACACTGGTCGGTAGTGGCTGATGGGTGAACGGGAGTTCTTCTTGTGAACTGGAACAATTCTGGCCCCTTTCCAGTCTGCCGGTTGGCTTCCAATAAAGAAACACGTGGCAAAGAGGCATGGTAGGGGGGGGGGGGGGCAGCAAGCTCATTTGCACACGTCTTGAGCACACAAGCTGGGATGTTGTCAGGTCCTGTTGCTTTGGGCTCGGGCTACAGCTGGTTCCCTGAAATGCACTTGGTGCAAGGGGGCGGTAGACTTAGGCTCATTCTCGAAATCATCCACCAGAGAGCATTTCCCAGCAAAATACTTTCCAAACGCCTCAGCTTTGCTACTATTGGTGGAGTGTTAATTGCCATCACAATCGATGATAGTAGGTATGCCAGAGTTGCGTCCATGGCCACTGGCTTGCTTCAGAGTTTTCCACCACTCTTTATCGATAGCACAACCTGCTTGCAGTCGAGCTCGAAGACGCTGACGGTGGATTGACTTTGCAGCAGAAATGCAAAGGCGGGCATTTATGCAGGCTATCTTTTATGTGCTCTGATTTTGCAACACAAGGTTGTGAGCGGTTCCTAAGCTTGCCAGCCTGCATGCACCCATACTACGTCATACTCACGTTTCGTTCCATCGACCTGGGTAGCTACTTGCGCGCCCATGTTTGCCATAGCTACCCATGCCCTTTATATTGCGTTGTTTCCCAGTCGATCTCTCTTTCTTCAATAATCTCGCTCTCTTCAACAATCTCGCTTTCTCATTCTTCATTAATGTAGTTGTTTCGTTCGTCTTGGTCTCTTGTCTCGTCGTCTATAATAAATGTCATTCCCAATAACTTGTTCCCGTTGTCCGTTGTAATGTCTGGAGAAGATGTCGTCAGTTGACCTTCTTCGGACTCAACGTAACATCAACAGCGTAGTGAAGAAATTATGTAGCATTATTCACACATCGACGAGGAATAGCATCAAAAAATTGTACAGACAACATTTTCTTTCTGGAAACAAAGCATAGGATCAAACTTAAGTTTGTACAACGCTTCTAACACAGCCGAATGCAATCGACCTCTACCACGTGACAGTATCGAGCAAACGTCATTACAGTACAACTCCCGACAATTAGCATACGTGTACAGATGGCTTTAGATAGATGAAGTATCACTCTGGGCTCATTTCTTTGTTGTCCCCTCCAGTGCCCTGTCATCTCTCCTCTGCGTGACATCACAGTACCCATCTCATGGCCTGGTGGAGTTCATTGTCCCTTCAGCTGCATCTCTTCCAGTATGATTCTTCATGGAGCTTCTCACTCTAGCTTTTCTAGTCTCAAAGTTCTGGTTTAATTACACGGTCTTCCACGTTGTCAAACATCCACTTTTGTTATTACTTCTATTGTCATTGTAAGTCGGTCCTCTTCAGTACGTCTTCTCACTTGGCTTCATATGACGCTGATAGATCCTTTCACAGTTTGGTTGGTTTTTGGGTGGGCCTTTCTCCAACTTTCACCTTTCTCTGGGTTTGACTCCAGCCCCAAACATTTGGAGGGGGAGAAGCAAGTTGGCATATCTACACCGGAAGAGGATGATCCAACAGTCGACTGTGAATTACATTTAGGAGGACGACCAAGACGACAAGGAGACTCAAGCGCATCAAGCGGAACAACACTTTACGGCACATTTTGGCGGATGTGTGCGCTTTATTATCATACTGTTTTTACAAAACACATACATCGTTATTTTGACGGCACAAAGCAGCAAGGGGGCAATGAGATATACGGAATGGCATGGGCGGAGGAAAGGGAGGGGCTGCTTGCTGGCCATAGGATCTCGGCTTCATTGCTACCCAAGTTCGAGGCAAGGGGATCAACGGCCGGTGTTCATAACGGCAGCATCCACACAACGCAGACGGGAAAGGTGTCAGCTATGTTTAGATGCCACAGATCTGAGCCTCATGATAACTCCAGACTTCTGGTCAAGGCCTCTATTCGCCTGGCCATGGAAGTACCGAGACCGTCCGAAGCCCAACCGACAACGCACGACCAGCGCTGCGAGAGATGACCCTACACCTGATGGTGCTGACAGCGCTTACATAGACAGTACGGCATCAGCTGGCGCCCACCCCCCCCCCCCCCCCCCCATTGATCAGTGCATCTCCGCAGCTCCGCTGGCTAGTGACCAACGCATTTGGTCGGACCAACAAGCTGGAAGCTTGGCAGCATGCACTGCTCAACGATAACGTTGACATAGCAGTTATCACAGAAACGAACTTCTCGGCCAAGACTGTAGTCTCTGAGACGATATTTTCAGGATACTCGCTTCCCATTCAACGTGACCGGGATGCATTTGGCGGCGGCGTTGCTGTATGGGTAAAGTCCGGCCTCCCAGTGGTGCACCTCGACCAGATTCCCACTGATGACCCCGAAGTCCTCCGGCTCGCAGTGAGTCTTTCTACGCAACAATCTGTTGTTATCGGTGCCTTGTTTCGGCCTGGATCCTGTGCGGAAAACGGCACCTGTCTGATTGAGAATCTTGGACCTGTACTATACGTGACCCGCACTCACGGCACTCACATAGTGCTAGCTGGGGATTTTAATGTCCACCAAGAGACTTGGCTCTGCAGCAGTAAAACAACTGTAGCTGGAGAGGCCTTGGAAGAACTGTGTGCTGAGCCTCAACTCCACCAGCATGTCTTGCAGCCGACTAGGGGTCTGAACACCCTTGACCTCATCCTCTCCAACATGTCCGTTCCTATCGACACCACTGCCAAAGCGCCACTTGGTTGCTCTGACCATGGGGTTCCTCTTGCCGACTTTTATCTCACCCCTGATGCTGACCAAGCTACCTCCAGGACTGTCCGGCGCTAAAACCAGGCAGACTAGGGGCGCTTCTGACTGGTCCACCATTGCGACTGACGACCCTGAAGAGTCCTGCAGTAAGCTAAGTGACGTCATCTCCAGCGGGATGCAGAAATTTATCCCCGCCAAGCAGCTTGTTACCCGCCCAGCAGACCCCAAATGGTGGACTCCTGAGTGCACCACAGCATTTTACGCTAAAGACAAGGCATGGAAGGTGTGGAGACGCAATATTATCAGCGAAGCCCACAAGGCTTGCTTTATGAACTCAGTAGAAGATGCTATCCTCGCGAATGTGCGAGCTCGCACATCCTGGGAACTGAGAGTTCGTCGGAAACTGTCACGCGGAGGCCTGAAAGACAAGCAATGGTGGTCAGTGCTCAAATTTGCTGCTGACGCCAGTCTCAGCTCCCCTATACCATGCAAGGTGGATGACGCTGGTCACCAACTCCGTATTGATGCTGCCAAAGCGAACTACTGATAATGATTCTTTGAAATGAAATGTGTTGTGAATTTGCAGTGCCCAGGGAGTGAGCATGGATTCTCGCCAATTTTCTTCTAGGCTGTTGAAGATCGTGAAAACTGTTGTTCTTCTTGGAAAACGTTTTCCAGTTGTGCATTTTATTTTTGTGCGTACAACTGATGAAAATAAGACCTGGTACACATGCACAGGACTTTGTACACCCATACAATCCTTCTTTTCTGTTCATACACTAACAAGGATGCACCTGGGATATCCTGACTTACATCAGTCTTTGGCTCCAGCGAATGTCCAGAATTAAGTAGATATTCTGCTACGGAAACATGTCCACGCGATGCTGCCCAGTGTAATGGTGTGCGACGACGCTGGAAGTAGCATTGTCAATGAATGCAAACCAAGTAGATACAAACACACACAACAGAACAACAAGGACAATCAAGGCTTGTTTGCTGTACAAACACACATAAACATACACAAATAAACACATACACATGCCGATTCCCACACACATAAATTAATACGCATATGCATGAAAACACACACGCATGCTCACGCACACACACACACACACACACACACACACACACACACACACACACACACACACACACACACGCGCGCGCACACACGCACACACATACACACACACACACACACACACACAAACACACACACAACTATGCATGCGCAAAACACACACACAAACACACACACACACAAACAAACAAACACAGTTAGTGAGCAAAGGTAACAAAGGCAATGGCATAGAGATTTCTGGATCATTATCAATGAAGTTTTCTTTGGGAATTGATGAACAATTTCCTTGGAGACAAGAATGCAATTTTCAGTAGTATACTTTCATGCCTGATCATCAGGTGAAATACAGGCAGAATCCAATGAACAAGGCATGGCGCATGTTGTGTGTGAGTGTGCGCGCTCGTGCATGTCCACGAATTTTGAGCACACGCAGGCGTTCACACGTGTGTGCGCGAATGAGAGTATGCCGTTTACTTTCCATATGCATACTACTGCAGGTGTGCGTATGTGACGTATTTGTGTGGGCAAGGGGTACTTGTTTGTGAGTGTGAGTATGTCACACCCTCTCCTACTCTCTTTCTCTCTCTCTCTCTCTCTCTCTCTCTCTCTCTATCTATCTCTTTCTCTCTTTCTCTCTCTCTATTTCTATCTCTCTCTCTCTCTCATGGAAGCTTTGTCCCTCCCTTCAATCCATTCTTTTCACCATTTTGGGCGGGTTTGGGAGAGCAAGATCATTCCAAGGCAGTGGTAGGTAGCGTGTATCACACTCCTGGCCAAGGGGGAGGTGTCTGATGATCCTTCGAAATTCCGACCTATCGCTCTAGCAAACACGTCCGGGAAAATCTTTTTGACCTAAGTTGCAAAGCGCCTCTTGAAACATATGCTAAGGGCCGGGTTCCACTGCGGCTCCGCGGCTCCGCTGCTCCGCGGCTCCGCTGCTCCGCGGCTCCGCTGCTCCGCGGCACTTGGCTGCATGCAGCGGAGCAGCGCGGTTCCACTGTCACTCGCCATTCGCGGTACCACGGTCGTGGTCCACACTTTTTGATGACGTTTCACCTACCTGCGCCCGCGAAATCAAACAAATTCTCGTGTCCTGGCCTGCGCAACGAATTAAAATTTGAATTTTAAAATTCTGGCGTACAAAACAATGCAAAGTACGGGAAACAGGTCGAGCCGCGACCGTGGCTCGCAGTTTTTGGTCAAGAATCGTAGCAAAAGCTGGCGGTGAGCCGCGGACTCGCTGCTCCAGTTAGAGCCGCGGTCACTATGGTAATGATGACGTTTCAAGCCGCGGAAGACGAGCAGCGGAGCAGCGGAGCCGCAGTGGAACCCGGCCCTTAGCAATAAGTTCTTCGATGGTGACAACCAGAAAGGATTTATGCCTGCAAAGGCTGGGTGCTTAGAGCATACATCACTTTGTTATGAGGCGATGCGTGATGCAAAGACGGCAAAACACCAAATTTGCATTGCGTGGATAGATTTGAAGAATGCATTTGGTTCAGTGCGCCACAATCTGATACAGTATGCTCTAACCCACTACAGCCTTCCTTTGCAATTCAGGAAATTAATTGTTTTCCTACGTCGACAGTCTTTGCGCTTTCGTCGTACAACCACACACTCCCACCTTTAATTACAACATTGGTGTTTTCCAGGGGTGCCCCTTGTCCCCAATCCTTTTCAATTTTTGTTTCCCGCTTCTGCTGGACTCACTTTCAGCCCCTGAATTAAGTTGCCTCTCCTATGATTTTAAATCTGCCCCTTACAAACCTTACTATCAGGAAGATCAGGAAGATCGCTTTCATTGACACCAAAGAGTTCAAGTTCCTGGGGCGAAGGCTGCCCGCTGATTGCTCTGAGCAGACCCAGCGGGAAGACATCCATAAACTCACTGTATCTCTCATGCAAAAAGTAGATGGCTCTTGGCTTCAAGATCACCACAAGCTATGGCTTTACCACCATCTTTCAGTGCCCAGGCTTTTTTGGTCTTTCCAGGTTCTTGAACTCACACAAGGTTTTGTACGTGAACTGCACTTTATGTGTTTACCATTTCTGAAGAAATGGTCTGGCCAAACTCTGCCATTCTTTTTATTGGCAGTCGCAAACGCTTTGGCTTACGCCTCCACTACCTTCCTACAATGTGGAAAAAGGGCCAGTCCATCAAATGGCACATTCTTCGATCGAGTGGGGACGCGCGCATGAGGGCGCTGTACACTCTGCGTCGGAGTAAGGATGCGAAGCTAACAAAGCGGTATGCGGCGACAATAGAGCTGGAGTGTGCAGAGGCATCAGTAGGTTCAGGGACTCTCCATCCACCGTCATCGTCAAGTCATCGTGCAGGGTTGGGTGCTCGTGCTCCGAAGCAGCATTCCAAACCCCCGAGGGCGGATCTCCTTCAAACATTTGAGGAGATCGACGCGCAGGAGCAGATTTTGAGGCTGAAGACTCTTCAGGTGCAAGGTAAGTGGTTGGAGTGGACATCGGTGATGTGGCAGGACCTCTCGTGGAAATCCCTTTTGTACGGTGGTACTGGCAAGGATTTAAAATTTCTTCTTGCACCAACCCTCGACTTGCTACCTTCTCCGACGAACCTACGTCGTTGGGGAAACACCGTAGTGGATCCGTACTGTAGTTCGTGCCGTGCCTGGGCCTGTACTACGCGCCACGTGCTTGGCGCTTGTCGCGCAGCGCTGGACCACGGACGTAACACCTGGAGGCAGGACAACGTACTCGGGGTCATCGTCAGGAACATGCGTGAGGAGATTTGATTCCGCGCTGCTGCAAACACCGTACAAACCGAAAATTCAAATGAGCTTGACTTCATCTCGTTTTGCAAGGCGGGAGAGAAGCCAGTTCGCGTTCAGCCCAGACAAATATGGTTTCCGCCTGATCTCCTGTCAGCGGCCTCAGACTGGAAACATCTTGTTGACTCAGTTAGTGCAAAGATATCTTTTCCTAGCTGTGTTGCACGTACCACCCTAAGACCAGATATAGTTCTGTACTCTACGAGTCGTAGGATTGTATTCTGGATGGAGTTGAGAGTTTGTGGTGAGGACAGATTCAGTGTCAGAAACTCGCGGAAGGACAGGCGGTATGCGGATCTGGCCGATCAATAACGAGCAAACGGGTGGCAGTTCGTTTCTCTTTCGGTTGAGGTAGGTGTGCGTGGTTTCATCCCGGACTCTCTTCGGAGGACTCTGAAAGCGCTTGGATTTTCTAATCGAAGAATAGAATTTATTTGTAATTTGTTCACCAATAACAACTTATACACAGAACCAAAACAATCTCCAGTTAGTGCCACATGCCGGCGACGCAAGCTGCTGTGGTTTGGCCATGTGGTGCGAGAGGGTCCAGAATCCGCCTTGTTCCAAGCACTGGAGCTATCAATCAACACAAACGGCACAAAAAAACCCGTGGCCGTCCCCCATTGCGGTGGATAGATACGATTCGGCACGACCTGAAGGCAGCGGGTCTCTCCGTGGAGAGTGCTCTCCAAGCTGCAGGACATAGACTAACTTGGCTTGACACTGTTGACAGATGCGTCGACTCTGCTTCTGTCTAACAGGTCCAGGGAAGATGCGAGCTGTGTTTATCATTATTATTGTGCAGTAAGACGTCTCTGCGAAGCAGCTACATCATCTGGTTGCGACGGCAACAAAAACACTGGTCGGAAGATCCACTTTTCTGAGGTACTGTATGTGGGGCTCCGTTTATTGAGGTGCGTTGAAATTTATTCTCTTTATCTTATTATTTCTTTTCTATAATTTCCCCATATGAGTTCCTATCAGTTGCTGTGAACACCTTGAGTGGAGAGCGCTTGCTCGAGCGTTGAACCCGGGTTCTTAACCCTTTAAGGTTTTGACTTTTTAGTATACGGAATGCATATGCCACGGGAGATATAACACACCGCGTTACCTGTTGATATCATGTATATACAAGTTTTGTTTTTCTGAAAGCTATACGAACACTGCATCAGATAAAAAAAACTGCACTGAAAAAGAGCGATTATGTATGGAATGCCAATCAAATGAATTTTGATGATAGCAAAAAATGCGGTATTCTGAACATCTCAGTCAACTACTGGTTAGCCTGATGGGGATAATCCGTTTGTTCTATTCTCTGATGCACTCTGCACAATCTACAGGTCGTCCAGGTGGGCCTGGAAGCAATTCTGCTTCTTCTTGATGCAGTAGTGCTTCGGATTGCCTTTCCGATTTGTGCAGACGGAACAGGCATAAACACTCTTCACGCTTTTCCTTCCAGCATCTCGGCAGTATGAGCAATCCCGCCTTTTACCAGTGCTGACAATGCCATGGTGCTTCTTCGGAGACTTGGCCGTGCTGGTCGATGGTCCAGGCTTTCGAAGGGGCACCTTGGTCTTGTCAGTGATGTTCACAAGCTGCCGGATAACTGCAAGACGATAGTCAAGCTGACTGTAATCCTTCGGCATTTTGATGACGCCTGGGTTTTTAGCCACCCACTGCTGAAAGAGAACCCATGAATTCACCACAGCTACATCCACAAAGTCAAAAAACAAAGTCTTCCAGTACTTGCGTGTTTTCCGCAGCACCCTGTACGTTGCTACGTGCTGGTCGAACAGGTCCACTCCACCCATAGCGAAATTGTAGTCGTGTATCAATTTTGGCTTCTTCAATTCCAGGTCACGCAAGATGTTATTTTCTTTCACCTTCCTTGTAACATTGACATAGTCAGCAGCGCTGTGCATAGTGGATATGACTGTCACCGGACGTTTGTCCATCCATTGTAGGTGAAGGAGGTCTCCACCGCGTACAAACCGCATTTTCCCTCTTTCAGCTCTACGCTGAAACGT